TTAAGGTTTCAATTGGGATGTGGCTCAAGCGGTAGCGCTCTTGCCTGGCATGCGTGCGGCCCGGGTTCGATCCTCAGCACCACATAAAACAAAGATGTTGTGTCCGCCGAAAACTAAAAATAAATACATAAATATTAAAAAAAAAAAAAAAGAAAGCAGGAGGGAGGTTAAGGGGGCAAAAGAAGGAAGGAGGGGAGCAGGCAGAGAAGGCAGAAGGAAAGCAGGGACTGCAGCCCATCAGAATCCTAAACAGGATACAACAAAGAACTAGGCTAACTGCATTCACCAACACAGGGTGCTTGCCTGCAATGTCTTTCTTTGTGGTTTAAACTGTTATCGCAGTAATACTAAAGGCAAATTTGAAAACTCATCATGTTCTCAGCATTCTAGCAAATGGGTTTTCACTTGCCCAATTCCCTTGCTGTGATTTCAATTCAGTTCCCATCTGCTCAGCACTCCACAAGCCCGATGCCAGACGCAGGGCACTGATAACAAGACAGGTCTCCACTACCAGAAAGGCTTGGACATATTCACTTGCTAAGGTGACTCACAGGGAATTATAGAATTTTATACTCTTTTCTTTAAAAGAATTTTTTTTCTTGGTGGTCCTGAGGATTGAACCCAGGGTTGCATATATGCTAAGCATACTTTACTTCTGAGCTATATCTCCAGCCCTAAAAGACATTTTTAAGACATGTAATGTCATTTGCTTCAAATGACAAAAAGCAAATGTGTGAAACAAGTGGTGAGAAAATTCCCTAATACGCCAAGGACTCAAATGTGTTTCTGGTTCAAAGACAGAGGAAAGAATGCCAACGTTTTTAAATAAGCCTCATTTAATTTAGGTATAGTAGATTCGAATGTCATTAGGTTTCAGTTCGCTTCCCTTCTTAGAAGTTTTGGAACAACCTTATAATGGGGATAATACTTTAGTATACTTTAGTATACTTAACATTTAAGAAGAACAAAAGATATCATCTAATCAGACCAAAATAATTACACATATGTAGTATAAGCAAAGATGTGTAAGATCATGTAGTCTAATATTACTCAAGATCTGTATTTATTTAGTTGGTTTTAAAATTTCATAAAAACCCAAGAATATGTTTTCTTTTATATTTAAAATATGGGAATTTGTAAGAATAAAAGGATTTCATGAGTATGTAACTTGACTATTCACTCCAAGTCAATCACAATCAAAACTTTTATGAATAAACACTTGCAAACAAAATAGACAATAATTTAATAAACTAATGATGAGATTACTGAATGTGTAGCCATTCTTCTCTAATACTTTTCGATATTAGCCAGCATTCAGGGTCACAATATCTGTCCTATGAACACGTGTTCTAATGAAGCTATTATTATTTTACCATTATCAAAGAGAGCTCCCATTTCTATAGTGTGCACTTTATGCCTGATACAAGGTATTCTGTACGCACCAACTCATTCATTGCTCAGAGTGACATTTACAAAGTAGGCTTTATCATCTGTCCTGTAGAAGATCATAGTAACAAAAACTACAAACATGTACAGGTTGAGTATCCCTCATCAGAAATACTTGGACCCAGAAGGATTTTGGATGTGGGGTTCTTGTTTTGTTTCTTGGTCTATCTGCTTTACATAATGAGATATCTTGGGGATGGGACTCAAGTCTAAACATGAAACTCATTTATGTTTCATATACACCTTACACACATAGCCTGCAGGTAATCTTGTACAATATTTTTAGTGTGCCTGCTTGTGCCTGTAACATAAGTTTAGGTGCAGAATTTTTTCACTTGTTGGCATCACATCGGTGCTCAAAAAGTTTCAGATTTTGGAGCATTTTAGATTTTCAGATTAGAAATTCTCAAACTAGAGTAAACATTTCCCATGCGCCAGGCCATGGAGCAACTAACTCACTTTGTTCTCACAAGAATCCTGTGATATGAGCACTGTTATTATCCTGATTAGACTGATGAAAGACTGGGGAACAGAGAGTCAAAACCCTTCCCAGGGCCACATGTGTTATGACAAAGCTTGGGCCCTAACCCAGGTCCTCCTCAACACCAGAGCCCACACTCTCATCCACTATGGTAAGAACTGTGGTTCCTCAGTCCCATCTATGAGAAGAGCTGCGACTGCAGATGGCCAAGGGTCAGGGTTGGTCTGGGCAGAGCCAGACCTCAACCCACAAGTCAATTGATATATCTGGCTGGGACACCCTCCCCCAGGTTTCCCTGAAGAAACTCACCACAGGAAAACAAAAGTCCTGCCTCAAAACTGGCACGGCTCAATGGTCCCTGGAAAACTGAACCAAAGGACAATGCTTCTGAATGGCTGAAGTGTGAGTATCCCAGAATAAAGAGCTCTCATGTCCACTCAACAGTCATCTGTCACTTGGTTACTAAGGACAAGTCTGTACTTGGACCATAGTAGGTCCGTGGTAGCTAAGCTGGTGAAGGCAGACGCTGCCTCAGGAGGGGAAAGAGCAGGGACCCAGACAAACATGAAATTATGAAACTAGGACAACACTCTTTCTGGGTGTGCTGGGGGAAACCGTGTGATGAAGGGATCAATTATAAGGGCATATGAGGAGGTTAATAAAGGCTAAAAGGAAGAAAAGATGGAGGTTGAATAAAAGAAGAGAGGTGTGGGGTTGGGATTGTGGCTCAGCGGTAGAGCGCTCGCCTAGCACGTGCGAGGCACTGGGTTTGAGCCTCAGCACCACATAAAAACAAATAAATAAATTTAAGGTTTTTTTTAAAAAATGAATAATTTTTTAAAAAAAAGAAGAAGAAGGGAGATGACACTTCTTCTCCCAGGATGGAGTAGAGGTCAGGGTAGACAATCATTGGATTAGACAAAGGAGAATGGGGGGAGTAGGAATGGGACAGGAACAGGATTAGAAATAGGAGAGAGAGCAGAATGAATCAGACATGACCTTCTTATGTTCATATATGAATACACCACAGGGAATCTCCACATCACGTATAACCACAGGAATGGGACCCTAATTAGAGTAAACTATACTTCTTGCATGTATAATAGGTTCAACTGCACTCTACTGTCATATAAATATTAAAAAAGGAGGCAGTTGCTACAGAAGGAAACCACTGTGCTGGCAATCGCTTGGCTAACCTACACGGCTGACCTAAGGACAGACAGAAGCCCTGCGAGGAGGGAAACCAGCAACTCCAGAGCAGCGTGGGAGTGGAGGCACCACAGCTGGGCAGCTCACCCCTCCTGCCCAGCACCCAGGACAAAGATGCTCACTGTGACTGGGCAACCCCCAAGTCCAGGTTCTCTGGGGAGCCCTGGAACAAGGAAGGCATTGGTGCAAGGGGAAGTCGGCACCCTCCATGTGAGCTGATGACAGTAGTCCCCCTTATCTGTAGGAAAGATGTTTCCAGGCCCCCAGAGGGATTCTGAACCTGAAGAGAGTAGAGAACCCTATTCACGCCATGCTTTTTCCTATACACACGTACCTGTGATAAAGTCTGAACCTATAAATTAGACACAGCAAGAGTTTTACAACAACTAATAAAAAAATAGAACAGTTATAGCAATATATTAATAAAAGTTACATATGTATGGTTGGTCTCTCTCTCTTTTTCTTATTGTACATAATTCCCCTCTCTTATGATGATATGAGATGACACAATGAAGCGAGGTGAATGAGTGGGCTCTGTGATGTAGGGTTAGGCTACTGTCGACCACTTCTCTGTTAATCACTGGAAAGCCATTTTGAATGGAGTGTGACATCTTGCACTGACCCACTATCCCTTCCCAGAGGTGAACCATCCCTTTGTCCATCACAGATGTACTGTCAGTCCCTTCGTAACCTTCTCAGTTATCAGAAATCAACTGTGACAGTAACACAGTTCATGTGTTCAAGTTTCCCTCAGAATGGCGCATGATTTAAAACTTTTGAATGGTTTACTTCTAGAATTTTCCATTTACTATTTTCCAAATGCAGATGATGACCATAGGTAACTGAAACCTTGGAAAGTAAAACAGCAGATAAAGGACAGCTGTAAAAAAAAATAAAAATAAAAAAATACACAGTCAAATAACCCAAGTCAGTGGCCCAAAACTCCCCAAAATTACCATTTAAGCTGGCAAGGGTCAAAAAAAAAAAAAAAAAAGAATAAGGCACAATATTTAGCAAAAACTGTGAAATTACCTTTATTCCAAATGTTTGTTACTCATAGGATAAAAGCATTCATTGTAGTCCAAACTTGTTTATTAATACTATATATGCACGAAGAGAATAGTAATTAAGGTATATACACATAAATCTATAATCAATACTTTCTCTGGGAACTGGCTTTCAAGTAGATAGTGATGTTCTCTGTTCTATATCTGCAACAATTAATTTTTTTGCAACATATGTTAAGTGTTTGGAAAAAAAATACCTGGTTTCGTGTCCAGTGGGAATAGTCCCATGTTCACTAGTTGGGAAACAGTACACTGTAGCTGCTTTACTAATCCCTTCAGTAATTTTGATTCTAACACTCAAAATTTAAATATAAACAGAAAGAGGGTTCAGAATTCTCAAAAAGTCACTGCAGTCAAATACCCAGGCAAACTCAATTGGGGGGGGGGGGAGTATATATCTGATGGCCAACAGGGATAGTGGGGGCAAGAGGACAGGTGCTGGGACAAGCCTCTCAACCAGACCAATGGCAGCAGCACTGTCCCCCCAGCAGACACAGGAATGAGGACAACTGTATTCACAGAGGCAATTTCTGCCAATCTTGCCCATGCCTGCCAGCGTGCAAGGGGTCAAGTGTGTGTGGCCCGGCACAGACTTCACAAATGTGTGCTGAATGAATATGGAAAGAAGGGAGTGAAGCAGAGGGAAGGAGGTCAGGAGATAGAAAAAAAGGGAAGGAAAAGTCAATCAAAATGGAAAAGGCAAAAAAAAATTGGGAAGACTATCAAAAAAACATAGTGTTATGTTTACTTGATCATATTTACACATGAATTTGATAACTTTTTAAAAAGTGAATTACCTTTTATATCACTTTCGGGTCTTAGAGAGTCCTGGTAGCTTCCAATTCAAGACTCAGAAAAAACAGGAATGGTGCTCTGGATGTCCAAATCAGGGATTTCTAAAAGGAAATCAACATGGATTAAAAATTATGCTGAAGAATAAAAGTGATTTAAAAGTAGCATTAAAAGGAAACCGATTTTCATGGAATAACAGTAGGTTTCCTAATACAACGAGGGAAAAGTTGGGTTCAAAGCCCTTTTCTAATTTAGCTGGTCTAGTAAACTTTAAATTGGTTCCAGAAGAAAACAAAAATCAACTATGGGATAGGCTTTCTTTGTGTACTGAACGGAAAACAGCCCAGAGGAGAGACAGTGGATTGCTTCAGCCCAAAGACCCTGGCTCTGCATCCTTCCAATCCCAACATGCCCCAACCAAACTTGTCAGCCCTCCCAGCCCATAGAATCAGTCAGTAAATGAAGCCTCCTGACAAACCACAGCAAAATTGAGGAAGGGAACAGAGATTTGTACTTTAGGAACTTGATTCATGTTGCCAAAGAAGAAAATATTACGAGACAAGTACTGGAGCTGTTCTGCCCTCCAAATGCAATCCTGACCTCAGCTCACAAACAGGAACACAATCCTGCTTGTCCTTGGGCTGCTTTCTTCCTGCATGGAGGACAGATTTAGAAGGCTATGCCACCCCAAATTTTGAATACACAATATTTTGTTTTCAGAAAGGGGAAAAAAATGTACACTGAGCAAGCATGTCAAGGACCCAGAAAGAACACAGCTCCATTTTTACAAAGGACAGGAGAAACAGAGGCACCTTGAGGAACGTCCCTTCCCAGGTCTGTTGGATGTGTAACTGCTGTTAACTGTATTTGGAGACACTTGGCGGAATCATGAAAGTGATGTTATCTGGACATCTGGCAACTCAGAGAAAAAGACTGTGGTGGAGATTTCCACTGCCTTCTCCTCTCTCACATCTGCTTTTGTTGGATGCCATCAGCGCGAATGACTGAATCTTTGTTTACTTGAAAGTGGGAGCTAGCAGACAGGGAAGGAAAATGTTCTGGCTGCAATAGATATCTTCTTTATTGAGATTCACTGTATATTTTGCACGGTTAGAGGAGTAACCAGTAGAAAAATATTTTTAAGGACATGCTTGGGACTGTGACAGATGATGGCTAAGAACCACTTCATTCAGATCTAGGCCAGATTCCCAATCATCATTAATTCCGCTCTGGAGCCGTATGTAATGAATGGCACGTCTGAAGTGTATTAGTAAGGATGGAAATCTTGACCTAGATTTTTTTATAGCTTCAGAGAAATAAGACAGAAAGCCTGGCTAATACTTCCCACTCTTCACCCATAAAACTTTCAAAACACATCCTTACTTTGCGTTCCATTGCCTAACAATGCTCAACAATGACACAGAATCATATCTAGTATTAGATTAAAACTGAAATAGAGACACCGAGTTCCATGTCTCTTTTTTGGTTGCTTCTGGATATGCAATTTAAGTCTAACTAAAAAAGGATCATATAATTTAATACTACTTTAGCAGCATTCTTAAAAATTTTTTTGTATAGTTGTAGATGGACAGCATGCCTTTATTTTATTTATTTATGTGGTATTGAGGATCGAACCCAGTGCCTCACACACTCTAGGCAAGTGCTCTGCCACTGAGCTACAACCCCAGCCCCTAGCAGCATTTTATGTATGTTTAAGCCCATTTAAATTCACTGTGGCCCACCAAAACAAAGAAAATGTTTTTATACTGAAATATTTTGCAACCAGTATTTTGTTTTGAACAAAACTTGAATCAAAAATTCTTTTTAATCTTTGTCATTATTTTTGCCTTTTCTTTCTCACGTTTTTTAAGAGGGAAAGTAATGAAGAGCTAGAAAAATTATGCAATTATGATTGCAATGGGAAAAATATTACAAATGAAGAAATTCAAGTTTGGATTTATCTTCAAAATTGTCATGTGAAACTAAAACCATTCCTAATAAAAATAATTCAAAGTAAATATGCTTAAGACTTAGGAACCTTATGGTTACTCCAGCTGGTTAATTTCACAGATGAAGAAATGAAACCCCAGAGGGGTGAAGTACTGTCACATGATTTCCTAGATTCTATTGAACCCTTCTACACCTGCCCCACAAAGGAAAAACAACTCAGGAAACAAATATCCATTAAGGATGATCTCTTTCTAAAAACTATGAAAGCAACTAAATTCTGTGCTCTATTAGGTCATAGCTGATCTTTTATTTCCATAAATAACTAGAAGTTATTTATGGAAATAATAAGTTAAATTTTTTCACCTATTTTAACATAAAACAACAACAAATTATTTTACCCAGCACAAACATCATTAGATGAGTCAACTCAACTTTATTTCAATATAAACCACTTTTTAAAATTTTCGAGAGCAGACTGTATCTTTCACTCCACTGATAAAGCTTAATAAGTGATTAAGGCCCATGAGGAATTTGAAATAAACTGGAATACTCCTAGGCTGTCTAACATAGATACAGTTACTCTAAAAAACACAATTTTCCTCTCTTATTTACAGTCAAATCAAAATAAGTTTTCTACAATCCATTTTTCACTAAATTTTACCGACAGGTATGAAGCAAAAGAAGTTATTCTATAGTCAAAGCAGTTTTTAAACTAAGAATTTCAAAATGACTTAGTATTAGATCCATCACATCAGACAGGACCTGTATTCTGTAAAACTGGAACTCACTCAAGGCACTCGATTTCGCAGTAAGGAGTTTACTATCATGGGTACTTGACTACTCCATTATTTATACGGCACAGTGCTGGTATGCGAGATCCAAACAGCAAGAGAGGGTGCACTGCCCTCTGCAGATTCATGAATGAGGAGGGCTGGGGAGGACCTCCCAGTGGCTCTAGTTTGTGTGGGATGAGTGTGCACGTGGGAGGGTGTGTTCAAGAGAGGCTGTAGTTAATAAATCCACAGGTGGTTTTCCCAGGGACTATGAATTGACAGATTCCAATGAATTAAGGAGTAGAAGTAAGGAAGCAAGGTCAGACAAGCTAAAACAGGCCAGTGGGTGACAGAAGCACCCCTCTACACCTGCCCCTCAAAGCAAAAACAGCTCAGGAAACACTATATCCATTAAGGATGATCTCTTTCTTAAAACTATGAAAGCAATTAAATTCAGTCATGATGAAAAATTTGCAGATTTCCCATCTGTAGATGCAACCAACCGCAGATCAAAAATATTCAGGAAATAAATTTGCATCTTTACTGAATGTGTACAGATCTAAACCAAGACAGTATTAAAAACTACTTAAATAAAATTTACAGCATACCAATATTAAAAGTCACCTAGAAATGATTTCAAATTATGAGAAGATGTGCATAGTTTCCATGTAAATACTGTGCAATTTTATATAAGGGATCTGAGCATGCTCAGATTTTTGTATCCAAGGGTATTCCCGAAACCAATACCCCACAGACACAAAGGGACAATGATAGCTTCCTTATATGTCTTTATATAAAGTCACTAATAACAGTAAAACTCAGTGTCAAACAACCATGTTAAGGTGGGGGGAAATAAGATTTCGATACACATTTTTAACAAGGAAAATAAACACCATGCAAGCACAGAATGAGATTTTCAACATAATTAGTCAGGAAAAAAAGTAAAATAAATCCTTAGTGAGGATTTATTTACATACCATTGCATTTAGATACCATTACAACTAGAATGAATGAATTTAAAGTCTGAAAATTCCAAGTATTTACAAGGGATTCTCATACTGAAACACCATTTGGCAGTTACTCATCTACTAAAACAAATGTTTACCATATGATCCAGCAGTTCTACTCCTAGGCATAAACCCAAGAGAATTTAGACACACAGGTTCCACACATAGACTTGTAAGAAAATGTTAACAGCAGCCTTGTTAAAAAAAAGTCCCAAACTTGCAAGAACACGAATGTCCATCAAATGTTGAATGCATAACCAAATTATGGCAAATACTACTCAGCAATACAAGGGAACAATTATTAAAACATACAACAATATAAATGAATCTAAAGAGCACTACCTATGGGAAAGAATCCAAATACAAAGGACTAAATTTTTTATTTTTTTTTTTACATGAAATCAGAAGGAAGGCAAAATAGCAGCAACTGAAGCAGATCAAGGAATGTCAGGATCCGCATGGGGATGGGACTGACTGGAAACAGGCATAAGAGGAAGTGCTCACGTTGTAGCAGAGGGTACATAACTGTACATACTTGTGAAAATTCATTGAGCTGGGGCTGGGATTGTGGCTCAGTGGTAGAGTACTTGCCTAGCATGTGTGAGGTACTGGGTTCGATTCTCAGCACCACATATAAATAAATAAAGGTCCATCAACAACTAATAAAATATTTTTTTAAAAAAAGAAAATTCATTGATCTGTACATTGAAAATCAGTAAATTTAATTATATATACAAATGTGGTTTAAAACTAACCTCAGTGTCACCATAATTTAACGTGAAAACTTTGTAACTTCATCATTAAGACCTAAAAGTCCTTCAGTGTATGATATTCAACATAACAAAATATTCAATAAGGATTCCAGCAATCAATAGTGGCTAAGTATCCAGAGACCACCAAAAAAGAACCAACAAATAATGCTGCTTACTGTGAAACGAAACTATTCCACAATGCTACTTCCCATGGATTGTAGCCTTACAAAAGATTTCCCAAAAGTGGCCTAATAATACTTAGTTTAGGATCAGTTTCTTCAATGTAAGAGGATAAACTTCCTAAAACTACTGATAATCTATGGAGGGTAACATATGGGAAACAGAAGACTGCCGAAGAAATGAGTTGGAAAAAAACAAGTGTGAATACTTTAAGAAATGTGAGCCACATTAGTAATCAAGTCCAACACTACTTTTAAAAATACACTAAGTGTGCCGCGAGCAGTGGCTTATGCCTGTAATCCCAGTGGCTCAGGAGACTGAGACAGGAGGATGCGAGTTCAAAGCTAGACTTGGCAAAAGCTAGGCGCTAAACAACTCATTGAGACCCTATCTCTAAATAAAAAGCAAAACGGGGCTGGGGATGTGGCTCGGTGGCTGAGTG